AGTGGTTCGACTGACTCTTGTGATCAGTAGATTCAAGTCGTTGATAGAGGGCAAACAAAAAGCTTTGGATTTCTGCGGTAAACATGCTGCTAGCTCTGTCTGTCCTGTGTGTGTTTGCCAGCGATTGTCCAAGTACATACAAGATTGCAATATTAGTGTCCCCAGTTAGTAGAAAGTTAATGGTTGGTTGGTTTATTGACTGATTGGCTTATCCACTATGCATTGGGTGTCGCATAATAACTGCAAAATAATGGGAGCAGTAACAGCAATAACAACAATAGTAGAATCAACAGCAACAAGAATCATATCTTTAAGTTAAAACACGAAAGTTCTCTAACGTTACCTTCATTTGACTTCTCAGGTTAATGACAGAATGGCGGCTCAATCGTGGTATTGAGGAACAAACCAAGGCGTTCTTGGAAGGACTGAATGAAGTGGTACCTTTGTACTGGATTCAATACTTTGATGAAAAAGAAATGGAGGTAAGGAGTGTTGTCAGGATTATTACAGGAAAGTTTGTGTGTTATTGCTGGGCATTTTCAAGGCCTTATTTTAGCACACATATATAGTTAGTCAAGTTATTGAAGTTTTGCACCATCACGTGACGGCAGCTATATTAGATGGCAGGAACAATACAAATGCTTTAAATAAGAAGGAATTCAGTCCCCATGAGCAAAGGAATTTTAATGTTTTGTCATCTAACCACAGGCAGCCCAAGCTGTATTATGGGCGCCAGCATGTGATGGTGCAAAACCTCTATAGCCTGCTTAGCTGCCCATGGGGTAGAGTACAACATGCCGTAACATCGAAATAGTTTGCCATTGTTTTTTAGTAATTCATCCAACCACAACGAGTGGTTACGGTAACGGTAGGATACGGTACGGCTACAGCAAAGCTATGATATTGCCGTATATTATTTCACTCGTGAAAACCCCTGTATCTAGAAACGTTGTTCCATACTTAGATGTTACTTTAATGATATTTTGTTGTTTTAGTTGATGTTATGTGGTATGCAAGAGATCGATATTGAAGACTGGCAACAGAACACAGTGTACCGACACTACACCAGGAACAGTAAACAAATCATGTGGTTTTGGCAGGTCAGTTGACACTTTTTATGACCCCCACCTCATATATTAAACCTTATACAATATTTTACGATAATTTTTGGGGGACAACGTTTGACACGAGCCCAAGTCAGACATTCTTAGGGTCGTTACGTCATCACGCAATGTTACTCTCCCCACTAACGTCGCGTGATGACAACGTTTTGAGCTAAGCCGAAAATACAGTGATTTGCATGGGGTAGTTGTATATTCAAATGACCATATCTCAGCTGATATTTGGTGTGTAAACGCCTTTTTTGATTGTCTATCGAAATTGTTAATCAAAAATATGATAAAGCGAAAATTATTTTTGGTCATCGCTTGAGTACTCTATTGATGACATCTCTATTCCAGGCTGTAAAGGCTTTTGATAACGAGAAGAGAACCAGGTTATTACAGTTTGTCACTGGTACATGTCGACTGCCTGTTGGTGGCTTTGCCGAACTCATGGGTAAGTGAACGAGATACCTTTATTGATGGTTGTACAAGTACTTTAATTTGAGGTTACGACATGTATTTTTCTTTCTAAGTACACCCACTTCCATCAACGAGTTTGTTATGGAAGATTTTAAAGACAGGAAGCAAGGAATGATATTTCAGGCAGTATATTCTCTAGTTTGCTGCAAGAGCGTAAGCTCATCAAGAAGGCTCACTATAACGATTTAGTTTCCTGTGCACCTGTTGAAAAAGGTTATAAATAATGCTGACGAAAGCTGTTTGGCTTTTTGTTTACAGGAAGCAATGGGCCTCAGAAGTTTTGCATAGAAAAGGTTGGCAAGGAGACATGGTTGCCTAGAAGTCACACGTGGTAAGTATTACTTCGCCAGTCACATCTAGACTTTTCAAACATGGTATAGGTTGGGTATAAATAACTGTTGTTTATCATGCCATTACCTTTTATGGTGTAGTTTATACCCAAGTTAGACCACAATGCATCCTGTTTCAGTATCGAACTTACAAAAGGTATATGGATGGGAGAGTTGAGAGGGTTACACCCTTTCCAATAAGAATGGCACAAACTTTTAACCATAAACAAATCGCGTTTTTTTTTCACGTTTCTCAGCTTATAATCTTGTAAAAAGCCTTAGATCGTCCTCCTTTACTTATGTTTTTATTTTACTTTGATGTTCCGCGTCTAATAATGGGACATACATTTTATTTCTTAGCTTTAACCGTTTGGATCTACCACCCTACAAGAGTTACGAACAGCTGGTGGAAAAATTAACATTTGCCGTCGAGGAAACAGAAGGATTTGCACAGGAGTAATGACCATGGTACTTTGATAAAAGACTTGATAAAAAATACTAAATAGAAAACTAGGAATTGAACTTGTAAAATAACACGACTAGAGTGCTTAGCTATGACTGATGGATCCGAGGATCTCTAGACCTAGAACTACCTTACTCTTTGACGTTCAGGACCGGCTCTACTCAATCCTATTCTCCCTCATCACCCAGAAGCAGGAATTTTGTGGAACTTGACGTCTTGAGGCTCTTCTGGAAAGACCCAAGATGTACTCTTTATGTTTACTAGATTTACTAGATTTACTAGATTGGATCAAGATATCTGGAATTCATTATAATGGAACTAAATGCACTCTTATGACATCAAATGTTGACCGAAATGTTTGATGGTGGAACAAACAACATGAACCGTGTAATCCGACCACCAGTTGTTTGGGAGCGGATGATGATGGGAAAGATGACATGAACCTGTGTTATCCGACCACCCTCATAGTAGTCATAGCTGCGCAGCTTTATGAGGATAACTTTTTTGCACTATGATGGAAGAAGATAAGCAAAAGACTTAGACAAACCTGCACTGCAAGTTAGTACCATCGGAATAATTGCCACGAATCAGATTGTGGAAACCGCTGCAGAGCGGGTAACACCTGACACGTTATATCACGTGACATTGGGCCATATCACGTGACTAGGGGGTTATGTCACGTAACCAATTGCATCACGTGAATCTCTTGTGTCTTGTAACCCCACCCAGTGGCTTAGGTAAAATTGTAATGGAGGTAACAATGAGGCATCCTTGTATGAATGACCAAAGGCAATAATGTTTCTTCGGTCGAAAATTATTTTTGAAAGGTATCATTTGTGTTTTCGTTGTGGTTCCTGCCTTTGTACAAAGCCGTCAGAATAATCATCACATCACCAAACACCTAATTTATGTACAATACACCTTATATTAAACACCACTTTAATGACATACCTGATAGATCTAATTGGACTTAATAACTAATTGACGTATGTCAGTCTTTAAAACAATTATCAAGAAAATCACAAAAATCGAGCAAGCATTTCCCTCTATTTTTAATACAGAAATGGCCAGCGTAATTGCTATTTACTATACTAATCTCATTGATAGTTTCTAATCACTCGACTTTCTGATCAAAAACAAATTCGTCTGTTAAGCGGGAAGCCTTTGATAAAGACTTTTGAATGGCTTCCATATTGCTGATTGGCTGGGATTCTGAATTGTGCTTTGTGATTGGTTTAGCGAGAAAGCCATTTGATACTCCATGTATTACAGTTTTCTTATAAGAAATCTGCAAGACTGGGTTGTGGAAAGTTTTTATTCGTAAATTATCTCTGCCATGTATGAAAGCAATAGACAAAGAGTGTCAAAGCGTGAAAGGTGTGTTGGTTGATAGCATTGCCATTGACGATGTTTTTGGGTGGCAAGATTTTAATGGCAAAGGACTTTGCGAAAGAAAACTGTCCCATGCGGATGGCACAAGTCAGACAACTCCTAACGTATTGGTGGGAAAGACGAGACACGTTTACACCTAATCACCAATCTATTATAAGGGGCTTTCATCAATTAGCGCATGGGGGCGGCACAATTGTAGGGAGTTACGATATTTTGAGAAAGTGGTTTTGGGGGACGAGGGGGGGGGGGGATATCACATATTTGGGGTTGAGAACTATTTCAGGGTGAGCAATTGTTGCCTCTACAATTGAGGTGAGGTTGGGTTATGTTTGTAAAGCTTCCTATGTGATATTTTCAACCCCCTCCCCCATGTGCTAACAAAGGAAAACCCCCTACGAGGTCTGACATAAAGTAATAACGTACCGTATAGACGTTGTTTTGATTGGTCTATTTTTAGTATTATAAGGGTTCTAAGATTCCACTCCGAAGGCTTTTATAATTTAGCTAGCTTTGATAGGTTTTATTGAACAAAAATATCCGTCCATTTCGCGTTTTTGCACTTCACGCGAGTGTGCATAATCCGCCATCGAATGTTGGCATTTTAACTGTGTGATCATTCCAGGTAACCTAGTAACGATATTCTTATTCAGCAATAGACGCTAACTCAGTAGTATCTCCCCAATCTTTTTCACTTTTTCATTGATACTGGTAATAATTAAGGAGATGGCTAGCCTGCGTAGCGATGCATTTCGCATTGGGGACAACAGGCCCCCATCTATTCCTTCCCCCTCCCCCCTCTCAAATTGGTGTCGCTAAGCAGGCTAGAGAGCAGATGTAGTTAGGAACAGATCTAGGCGCAAGATGATTAAGATTAATATACAAATCGGCTTTATGTAAATGTAAAAAAGAATCAATAAAGCAATAGGTTTTAATTTAATTGAATCTACTCATTCCCTTGATTATTATTACCTTTTTGATAGCAACGTTTGCCAAGTTACATAAACTTGAAAGCTACGCAGTAAAAACTAATGCACAAGGGATGACGCATAGGCTGAAATGTGAAAAACTTGCGTCCAGATAGCTTCAGCATCTTTTTTCGTTTTGATGATTTGAAATAAAAGGGGAGAGCAACAACCATTTTTATAACTTTCAAAAGTTAAATGCGAATCCCCAAGTCCTCACCCAAAATAAAAAATGTACTAATAGGCCGTTTGCATGATGTCGTCATTTTACTATACAACTACCAGAATGCGTATTTTTTTCTTATTCAAATTTGTATTTCCACAAATTATGCGCTATAAAACGTGCTATAATTAACTGAACAAAAGCAAGTGTGTTAGGGAGTTTGGTGGAGTTGGTAAATAACGCTAAAACATATTTTACTTAAATATTACCACCCCTATAAAACCTTTAATGTAATACTAATCAAGAAAATATCTTCAGAACCATGTTAGCACAATCCTTAGCTTTCCAATAAAGTGTGTTTTGGTTAAAAAAAACTAATTGTTTTGATTTACGAAAATTTGGACCCACTGAAAATAGCTTATTTTACGCTTCCAACTTCAAGGGGCTTGTTTTCTGCGAAATAAAGTGAGATTTCAAAATATTTTTAGGCTAGGATTTAAAGCTCTTTTACTACTTTCTATCATGGGTAAAAAGTTTTGGATCAAGCTTTCTTCAATTTTTTGTTAAGCAATTTTTGTCGGGTCGAGGCGTTTGGTAGTCTCCCCTACAGCCGCTTTCAGTGTCGTCACGCAACGCTTTCTCCCTTGAGGGTTAGGGGAGAAAGCGTTCAGTGACGACACTGAAAGCGGCTATGGGGGAGACTAGGCGTTTGGGTACCATGTGGTAAAGTTAGCAGTTTATTATCCTGATTATAGAAGTGAAATAGACCAGTTTCGAATTCCAAATAACCGCTGTGTTTCTTGATTACAGACTCATTTGCACAGGGTTAGCCTCAAGTTTGTGCAGAATATTCACGTGTTCAAGTCAAGGTCCGTCGAGTTTCAAAGTGTTTGTATTGTTAAAGTTGTGCATTCTTTACTTTACCGTTGGTATTTGTGAATATTTAAACACTGATACGAGGCTAACCCTGTGCAGATGAGTCTGTAATCAAGGAACACAGCGGTAACTTGGAATTCGAAACTGGTCTATTATGCAAAATAACTTGCAAAAATGAAATAGGAATGTGCGATGAATAATTGATATTATCTCAGACAGTAGAGTGCAAACAATTAATCCATGAAACACTAATTACTAAATAGTACGAAATAGTGCTAATTAAACAATTCTCGACTTTCACATCCCCATAATCCTTTGCATCTTTGGGGGGTAACCAGAGTGTAAACTCCCACTTATTTTGCTGAAGGCTGATCAGAAAATGTTGAAAATACCTTGTTTGGTATCCAAAGATAAAATGAAGAAGTAAAAAAACAGAAAAAGAAGCTTGAAGACGTTTAAGGTAAATTTTAAGCATTTTTTCGTAAGTCAATACATTCTCTGTAAGACCAAAACTCTTCATGATCTGTACACGCAAAAATAACTTGGAATAAACTGATAATCAGTATTGTATAGATAAAAGCAGGCATAGTATAAATTCAATTAAGAAACCTTTCAATTTGAGATTGATTTGATTGATTACCCCCCAAACACGCAAGGCATTATGGGGATGTGAAAGTCGAGAATAGAAAACAATGGAATTTGCATGACATTGTGCTATTTAGTATTACTAAAGTTTCACGGTTATATTGTTTGCACTCTCTATTCTTATTTCAATAATTTTTTAAAAAGCAGTTAAAACTGTAGGCCAAAAGTATATTGTTTTATGTGCGCACTAAAATGAATGGAAGTTTACACGATAATGATAATAGTATTGATAATTCCCAAGAGAATTAAATAACAAAAGACACGGCGGCCATGTTGGAGGATATAACAAAAGAATTCATTGATAATTCTTTTGTTAAGTTCCTCCAACATGGTCGCCGTGAAAACCATCAGTTCTGAGTAGTGATTAATATACTTTCCATCTATCGTAAGATGTGTAACATGCTGTAAATATTGCTAAAAAGTGGTAATAATAAATCCAAAATTCACTTATAATTTTCAAGAACATACATGTTACAGTGTCAACAGCTAGAAGACGTTGCAAAATAACTCCAAGATATTATTTAAAAAAGAAAGGTATGCGTGAGATGGAACTTTCTGTATTGGCTTGCGAGCTGGAGCTTTCCATCCGATCCTGCCCCATTCTTAGGAGAAAAAAAGATGGGGAATGGACTAGTTATTAAACTCGCACGCGGGCCAAAACTTCAAATTAAATTGACATGTAATTCTTGCTATTGGTTTGACTTGCAAACTGAATAAGCGGCTTGTTCTCTGGTATCTCCGCGGAAGAACTTGCTGCACCTGTTTGGCAACTCTCAACATCTTCACTAGCTTGTTCAAAACCGGTTTGGGCGGTCGAGTCAACAGGCTTAAAGAAAACAGTCTTACTTAACACATACTCCTGTGGACCTGTTTCATGGTCGATATACACCCTGTAGACCCAAGACAACTGACACAGCGTCGCTATCCAGAAGTATTTCTCATCCATCCACCAGGGAACTGACCTGACATCAGAACAGAGTAGCACATAGGGCGTGAACTTGGGGATATGATCTTTGCGAGATGTTTCATAATCAGGATTCAAATGCCTGCTTTTGTCAACAAGGTTTTCTTTCTGGGCCTTAAAGGCGTTTTCAGTCGCTTCATCAGCCAGTTTGATATCCATTAGAAGGTCGAGTCTCGTCCATTGCCGTGCTAACGAGATTTCTTTCCTTGACTCGTCTTTCCATGTTGTGTAGACAAATGCTTCCCGCATTTTCTTCAGGTTCGACTTTCTAGTTCTTCTCCCAACGTATTGACGATAGCCATAGCTATCGACAGTGTAGTCATCAAATATTTTCAACTTGTATCTTTTGATTATGATCTCGATAACCGGAGCAGCAGCATGCAGACTGAGGATGTAGTCCCAAGTAACAATATTCCTTAGAGCAGATCTATGGGGACAGAGGTACCCTTCAACAGCCACGAACAGAGCACAGAATCCACACATTCCCATAGCGCAATACATAAGGTTACCGTGATTATCCTTGAAGTCACTAAAGGCGCAGACAAAAACAAACACAAACCAAGGCCAAAACATAAAGTTCAAGAAAGCGGAGTAAATGCGCAAGAGGACCCAATATCTCTGCCCAGATATCTTCGCTATAGCCTGAATACGTTTCCTTGATCCTGCTGGAGTATTCCTCGTACTCTTGAAAATTCGACTGAGGGAAATACAAAGCCAAATAAATGCAGGTACGATCAAATGAAACGCCAAACAGGGACCAAAGAAAATCAAGAAATCTAGAGATGGATCCCAAGGTTTGGCAGTAGTCGGGATGCGTCGGGGTAGGAAGGTCGAAGGTGGTTGTGTTGGTGGTCGTGAAGGAGATTGTGCTTGGCAGCTTGCTTTCGATTCAAGTATCCAGCCTTTACCCGCCTCGCAGACATAAAATTCCATTGGCTGATATAGATAACCTCTGCCACAAAAGGATGTAGTGATTTCTCCTGGGCGTTGACCTGCCCAGACCACACTTACAGACGTTGAAGGCGCCCTAGGGATGGCACAAATGGTAGTCTCCTCACAGTGCACGCCATAACTTCCCTTTTTGCAAACGCAGACTGTTTCGTTGCCTTTCGTATAAACACAAGTTCCCGAATTTTTACACGGTGGTGAAATCGATGGACAGTAGTTTTTGCCATTGACAATACCTCGACATAAGATATTTAGTCCATCAGCCACAGTCCAACTCGTTCCAGTCCAAACTTCCCACCTCCTTGTCACGTATTCCGGTTTCAAAGCGTCATCCATCACGCGAATTACTTCGGTCGATCCACTAGTATAACTGGTTCCAATTCTCCAATAGTAGTCTTTAAAATACAGATACCAATTTTGTCGACTATGTTTATAAACAGGTCTTAATGATGTATAGATTTCAGGTAGTTTTTTAAAATAATCTATTTTTGGATCATTTAGAAGGACGTTACCGGAAGTAATAGTGTCGTTCAGGTAAAGCTTCCCAGAGTCACACTGAATTGATTCATCTTCCACACAAACTGCCTTGATTTTCTTCGCACTGTATACCTTTTTGAAAGTATTCTCCAGTGGAAAATAGTAAAACCAGTCTTCAGTCATATCACCAAAGACATCATCTTGGTTCACATTCCCAGATGAAAGCCAAAACTCGGGTTCAAAGTTTGTCGAGACTGAAGCAACGAGTCCAAAAACTGTTCCACCAACTTCTTGACCAAACGCAAGCATCTTGATTCTTTTAACTGGATCGTAGCTGTAATAAAAGTAAAGGCCAGATTTTTCGCTTTTGTAGACAGGAAAATTATCGTGAGTGGTAGAAATTTTTGTGTATACTCCTTCAATCTGTACCAATGGCATGTCGTATACCCCTACATTCTTGAATAATACCGTAGAACATAACTGTTTCTTAGCCGAGGAGAATGAACAGATTACTCCAAAAATTAAAAGAAACCAGTAATACTGAGTGTCCATTTTGATTGCTAGTAGAAGAGAAAGCATCGATGTATTACAACTCTTAAATAACCATCGTGTTACGTACGTGCACAACCGTGTTACAAAAACCGGAAGTTCTTGTTGCTCAATCAAGCGGGCAATATTAACGTTTAGCACCGAAATAAGTCGTTTTAGTATGCGTTTGTTTTATTTAGGAATGAATCACAAGAAAAAAGATGAGGGGAGGGGGAGGAGGACCATGTAACATAAAAGGGCTGGAAATATCGTGTTTAAAAATCATTGAGAAATCTTTGCATAACTTACCATCATATCCACCCCCCTCTTCTTTTGCAAACTGAAAGCCGAGCTAAGCTGCAACAAACTAGGCCATCGTTTTCTCTTGAAAAAAACCCCGTATATTTTAGTGGACTTTGGCCGATCGCGCATCGGTTCATCACGCCATTTGAACGTTATGAAACATTAAATCATTATTATTATCATAAAAAGATTTGAGCCGGAATTAATGAAATAACTGGCTGTTTGACAGCCTCTTGGCTTTATGAGTGTTTGAACGAGGGACTGAAGAAGTTTCTGACCATTTTTATCCAAACCAATCTGTCAAATATTAATCATCACTATGAAAGTAAGATTGATGCAAATCTTATTGAAATGGAGAACTAATTATCAAAAATAAGATATTTATCGTATATTTTTGGAGAAAGAAAACCTAAATATATCCCTACCCTCTCGTCCCATAGAGTCAATATTGGAGACATTATCCCAGCCCCCCTCCCCGTGCTTTTTCATAAATTTCGTTGTATGACGCGCGAAAGCGAAAAACAAGATGGCGGACAGTGGAGCAAATGAGGTTATAATTTCCTCTTCGTTTAGCGTAAAACTGACAAATTGGCGAGTCAGCGAGGGACAGATGGTAAAAGAAAGAAGTGTTCTTGCGTTATATGAAAAATTAGGTCAATCTGAAGAGCAGAAGGGGTTCATAACTCAACCAAAGTTGAAGAGTACTGTCAACGGCCGTGTAGGAAAGCTGCTCGTTGCTGAGGGCGATGTGGTTCTCCCAGGGTAAGTAAGACCTTTTTCGAGGCAGAAACATTCAAAACTAAGAAGTAGGAAAACTGCCCAACTTATAATTGATAACTTTTTAGGGTATACATTTAGTGATCGCCAATTTTGAAGTGCGTGGAGTTCGTATTTGGCGCCAAAGTCATGGCCGTTGTTTTGATGAGGCTGTTTTAATCAATCGTCCTGCTTAAAAACAACAGTGTTTTCGAGGTTAATGTTTCTTTTTCTAATTCCAAACTCTATCATGAAGTCCTCTTATATGTTCTTTTGTCCTTAAAATCGCAATCGTTTAATTAAAATATTGTTATTTTAATCGTTTTTCCCCAGGAACTGAAAATCAAACGTTTTTGGTTCGTAGCTTTTTCATTTTAGTGACCAAGGATTCGCAGATTTTCTAATTACTTATTAATTTATTTGCTATAAAATGTGGAGCAAACACTAAATCCTTCCATTCCTAAGCCGCTGAGATAGATATTTGAACGATCTTGAGCTATCGGGACAAACTATCAGGAATCATTTCTTCCGCTTCTTAGTTCCTGTCGATTCTGCAGTCGACTGAGTGAACTGGTCGACTGCGTTGTAGTTTGATCCAAGGAATTCCCAACGGGGGTCCCGTAGGGTCAATAGCATCATCCCACTAGCTAATAGGGAGGAGAGGGATCGTAGTTTTGCCATCTACAAAATCGCTAGAAATTAATGAATATTTTTTCTCTATATTTTTTGTACTTCCATTCAGTAATTTCCCGCTGATCTGAGAAAAAAATGTTAGCCAATCAGGGTAGAGAAAATTTGCAAAACTGTGGTGTCACTTTTCCTCTTGAAGTCACAGATTTCGAGAAATGAAAAAAATTACATTGCTAATATGAGCTTGATAACAGTGACACAATAATTTATGAGTTTCATATTTTTATTGTAAAGTTTATATCTTTCGCTGGTCAACTTTTGCATGCTTCATGAAACCTCAGTTTTGCAGTAACTTAATTTCTACATCACTATTTTAGATCAACTGGTTCATCCAAGAATTATTAATTTCTCAAGCTGACTGATGTTTTTCTATTTTTTATGTTTAATAATTCATTTTAATATCCTGAGGAAAGACTACCCCACATAGGACTAATATATGAAATTGAGCTGATCCTCACAGTATATAGAGCAATTTATTCAGCTTCAAATTGAGAGATTCAGAAAAAATTCTGAGTCTTGAATGGGATTTGAACCCGTGCCCTGGTGATTCCAGTGCCATACTCTAACCACTTAGCTACCAAGTCTCATATGAGACTTCAAGGGCACATTAGGTGGGACTAATAGTTGCATTCACCTTTCCACATTGGGTTAATTATAAGCAGACATCTTCTATTTGCTTGTTTTTGCTAATTTCATTGTTACCCAATAAAGCTGTTAAAAAATTAATGGTTTTTGAAGCATAAATATTAAGAGGATTTGTCTGAGAGAAAAGTTTGAATCTTATATGATTTTAATTTTTACTTTGGACAAAATGAAATAAAATGAAATAGAATTAAGATGATAGAAAAATAAAATAAAATCATGGAACAAAATTATGCTCCCTGTAGATTTTTTCTGATGCTCTCTGGTATTGTATAATGAGACTAAAATAAGTATAAGCTGTAAAAAAACTCCAAAGTATTTTCAAATTTCACAGTAGCAAAGTTCTATATCTCCTTCTGAGATTTTAAGGGCAAACATTGGAACTTTCTTATGAAGATTGAAACCCATCTAATAAGATTAATAGGAACACACTATAAAAATCATTCTTACCTAAAGACTTTGCTAACGCGTCGTCTTTCACCGCTGTGAGTCCAACGGGTCGGGTCGCTGGTTTGAGCCTTGCGGTCGCCACACGCGAATTGAGTTTGTTTGATGTGTTGTTCTCTCCTATGCTACGAGGGTTTTCTCCGGGTTCTCCGGTTTCCTCCCTCCATAAAAATCAACATGTGAGTTGAGCGTTGTGTGCATAGAATATTAAATGTAGTGGTAGTGCATGTGAGTGAAAAGTGTCCCCAATTAGTGCGAAAGCGCTAGAACGACTAGACACTTAAATAAAAGTGATTTATTTATTTATTTATTTTATTCTCCTTGATAGAAAACCTGTTATAAAGATAGAGCAAACAGTTGCCTGTGAACACCAAACTGTTATGAAGGATTTGTGCTGTGATTGTGGCATGGATCTCAGGAAGTAAGTAACCAATCATTTTATAAAGTACAGTCAAGTCCTGATACAGTATCTTAAACCCCCTGAAGACGAGGGAAAGGGTTGAAATAACTAAGGGGGAGAGGGGTTCAAGATATCCAGGGTAGAATAGGCCTCTTCGGCTTGGGGTAATGTTTTCCCATTTCAGACCACGTGCCATTCCCTTGAGAATAAGAGTCTTTGTTTGAGCTGTATCCATATTCATGTGTATCCTCATGTGCAACTGAGTGCAAACCTTAAACAAAGAAATGATACTCTAGGGAATGACATGTGGTCTGAAAGTAGTAGATTGTGAAGTAGCTGGAAAGTCCTGGCATGGTTTTCACTAAGTTTGAAATAATGGGAGATCATGAACGAGCTGGAGAGTACCCATGGCAGGGTTTTCATTACATTTTGAAATTTTACAAGAAGACCATGAACTAGCTGGAGAGTTCTGGCATGGTCCATGGGAAACTGCCCAAAGTTCAAGATTATGAGAAGTTTATTACATCTGGGGTTTTAGAAAATGGGACTTCATTGCAGAGGCATAACATTGGAAGAATGTGTGCATAGGTCACTATCTTGGGAGATGCAAAGTTTCTGATGAGCTAGGAGATGAAAAACCTCATTGAAAATTATATATATATATATATATAATAATAAGGACCTCTCCACAGGTCTCTCTGAAAAACACCTTGATGTTGAGAGCTTCCTACATAAACATTGTTGTCAGTTGTTATTATTATTATTAAATTAAAAGTGGAATGCTAAGTAGTTTATTTTTGAGTGTGTGGAGAGGTAGGTTAAATCCCCATTCTCCATATTACTGTAGTATTGCTTGAAAAAATCTTGGTGAGAAAAATAGGAAGTCTACCCATGATGACAGTCTAAAAGTGCTCTATATGTACATTGCTCTTCCAGCATTTTACTCAAATTAGTGTTGGATTCTTCATTCTTTACAGGCTGCAGACTGACCCAGATGAGCCATCATCACCAACATCAGCTACAGTGGCTATGATTCACAACATACCTGAGTTAAAAGTTTCCCAAAATGTTAGTAATATCTGCAGACTGTTGTTATAGTGTGTGTGTGTGTGTGTGTGTGTGTGTGTGTGTGTGTGTGTGAGTGAATGAGTGTATTTAGATGAAGACTACTAGATTATTATTGTTATTGGATATCATGTATGTAATAGCAGCCATGTTGGTGTATAGAGCAGTTTTCTTATGACTGTGAAAAGCTCAGTGCCGTAAGCATGATATGCCGTGACCGTGATGCTTTCTAGAATTTTAATTGGCTAATTTTTTTCATGCACAATGTGATTGGTCTGGCATTGCCGTGACTTTGGCGTGACGGTGTCCCTGCCGTGTTTATGCCGTGTTCCGGGTATTTGATTGGATGGAGGGTAAATTCTTGTGCAATGTGATTGGTCTGGTGTATCCCTTGCCATTTCACGACGGTGTTCGTGCCGTGAAATTTTCACAGTCATACGAAAACTGCACTAATTAGCTGCCATTGTTGTGCACCAACATTGCTGCAATACATTCATGATTATGTTCTCATAAGAATGAATGAAAACCTAGAATTATTTTTCTTACTAAAATATGTTTAAATTCTTTTCCTTTCTGTAGTGTGTTCTTTTTCAGCAAAGAGTTGATAAAAAGTTTAATTTTTTACCTTTTTTTTGGAATATTTGAATAGGAAGCTGAGGCCCTGGGCAAGAAGGATGAAGAAAGGCTTCTCAGCTCACACAAGCTTGCTCTTGTTGTAGACTTGGATCAGACCATGATTCACACTACCATTGAGCTAGTGCCTCCTGACATGAAGGTAAGCTGGAGGCTTTAGCAAAAATAAAGCTTTAGCTGGGTCAAGAGGCTAAGGAGAAGTACTCTACAGCTTCTCACTATAACCATGGATGACCCAAAGCAAATTTAAACACCATTTTTTTCTGCTGAAAAGGGGTTTCATTAAGTTTTGAAATGATAGGAGGTCATGTACTATCCAGATATAGTCTATGTTCTAGTGAATGTTCTACAATTACTAAGCTTTACGTGGTAGTTTAAGTCTTTCTGTGCCCAGTACACGCCTTAAATCATTTGGGACAGAGCGTTTGCTATAGCTGGTCCTAAAACCTCGAACTCCTTACCAGAAGACTTGAAATTATCTGATAACATCAGCATATTTAAAACAAAGCTCAAGACATATTTATTTAAACTTGTTTATCGATGATATAGTTTTACTCTAGATGACATTATGCTTCTTATGTAAATTCATGTTTTGCGCTATTTCCATCTACTTTTTTAGTTATGTATTTATATTAGATTACATATATTTCATTAGTTTTATTTTCTTTTTCTGCTATTATAATTTTCATGTTTTATTGTAAAAAGCATTGAGTTTTAGAAATGCGTTTTTTAAGAAATAAAGTTATTATTGATATTATTATTATTTGCCAAAGTTATGGTATAGAATATTTGAATGTAGTTAAGAGTGTGTATGGATAATACAAATATGTATAAAAAATTTCATTTGTCAATTATTTTATTTTCTTGTAGGATGTGTACCATTTCAACCTTGCAGGATACCCTCTGTGGTACCACACAAAGTTCCGTCCCTTCTCTCATGACTTTCTTGTTAATATGTCCAAGCTGTACGAGCTGCATATTTTCACAATGGGCTCACGTCTGTATGCCCATACAATTGCACGTATGCTTGACCCTGATGAATCCCTCTTCGCACATCGTATCAGATCAAGAGATGATTGCTTCAATGGATTTTCAAAATCCAATGATCTTAGGTAAGGAAACTGATAATTAGGGCTTGTAGGTTGCTGATGGCCAAAATGTAGGCAAACTATTACTAATGGCAGACAAAATACAATTGCCAAAAAAAGTGCCAAAAGAAGATAAAATGGCAACAAAATTTTACAAAGTTGCTGCTTACAGATTGCCTTTTAGTCCTCTCTTCTTATTAAGTGTCTGCCTATATTTTTTCCTATTTCAATCCCAAAAAATTTGGCTGAGATTTTTTTGTCAGAAGCCAAAAGTTCAGAAGTCTGGATACCAGCAAGAAGTATGGGTTTCCTGACTGCCATGACTTTTTCTGAGATACCAAACTTAATGCATTGTGGTCTAGCTTTGGTAAAAATATATTTCTTCCATCATGGCTTATGGTGATGTGTGTACCCAACCTAGACCACAATGCATTCTGTTAATCAAACTCGAGAAAGGCTATGAAACCTCAATGGTTGGCTCGTAAGTCACGTGATTAATCCTATTTTTGGTTCAATACCAACATAGCGCTATAGCAACACCCTATTTTCTCAAATCTTGTCAAAAAGTGTTCACAATTTGCTTTATTTGTTCCACAAGGTCTTTATTCCCACGAGGAGATTCCATGGTTTGTATCATCGATGACAGAACTGACGTATGGAATGACGCGCCTAACCTCATCAAAGTCAAACCTTACCAGTTCTTTAAGGGAGTGGGTGACATCAATGCTCCAGCAGAAAAGCAGAACGAGACAGCATCGTCTTCTGAAAATAATGATGTTGGATATGAAAATGAAAAGAAAGATGACAATGACGAAGTCAAGGACGACGAGGACGAGGCTGAGTCTGATAGTAAGGATAATGAAATAAAGATGGAACTGGAGAAGGATGAGGATGATCCTTTGAAAGATGGAGGTATAGAAGTAGAGAGGAGTTCAAAAGAAACTTGTGTGGTCAAGGAAGACGAGAATAAAAACTGCAGCAGTAGTAACATGAAAGTTGACTGTTCTGTTGATTGTGAAGTTAGTGCTATTGCTTTAAAAGATGCGAAAGATGCTGATGATATTACAGAAGAAAACGAATGTGGTTTGAAAAAAGTCGCAAAAAATGAAGTTGAGGAAATGAAAATAGATGAAGATGCCTTGCAGGATTGCACAAGTAGTTCCTGCATTCCAGAGAAGCAAAATGGCGAAGAGCTTAGCTGTATAAGTGAAAAGAACTCACAAGATAATGAAACAAAAGTTAATGAAGAAGAGAAAAGCCAAGTCAACAAGGAAAAATCTCAAGAAAAGGAAGACATAAACAGTAATAAAGATGAAAGTGTTGAGGAGGAGAAATCTGTACAAGAGAATTCTAAAGAGATAGAAATGGAAGAAACCGACAAAAACAGTAATGGAGATGAAACTGTCAACGAGAAGAAATCGGAACAAAATATTTCTAAGGAAAACGAAATGGCAGAAAACCACAAAAACGATAATGTCGCTGAAGCTGTTGAAAAAAAGAGATCTGACCAAGATATTTCTAAAGAAAATGAAATGACAGAAAACGACGAGAAAGAAAAGGAAGATAACAGTACTCAAGGTTTCAAAAATGGAGCCCAAGGAAAAGAAGAATCGAGTACCGAGAAGAAAGGTAACTCACTTTACACTCTACACTTTTGTATGACTTTGAAAAGCTCGCGGCAAGAATACGGTCGTGACATGGTAAGGCACGCATACGGCAGATCAATTACATTGCTCGATAATTTACTCTCCATCCAATCAAATATCCGAAACAGGGCATGAACACGGCGCGGACACGGTCACGCCATTCAGCAGCGACTCTTCACAGTCATACGAAAACTGCTCTGCATTTTGAAATACTTAATCAACTTAAATTCGCGTTGCATACGCGTTGATTCTTGCGAGGTTGGGGAATGTAATTTACAGAAAAGCTCTCGTGACAAGGGGAAAAAACTCTCTTCTAACGAACTTGCCCCAACTAACATGGATGAGGTTTGAACCCAAAAACACTCAGAAACATAGTGACAAGACTAAGTAAAGTTTTAACTGCTATTTTACTCATAGCATGAATCCTTATCTTGTATGTGGTAAGTCAGTGGCTTTTATATTTGTTTATTTTTAACGTTTGATATTTTTGTCTTAAGACGCGGCGACTGCGGATGAGACTGAGAAGTTTGTCCAAAACGACGATGACGACTACCTTATTCATCTCGAGGACATCTTGCGACGAATCCACCAGAAATTCTACGATGTTGTTGATCAAATCAAGGAGTTAAAAACCAAAAACCTCAAGGAAGATTCCAGTATAACTCGATTTTGCAATCCAGACACCCTGACACCGTGCACAAAACAGATAATAAGAGAACTACGTTCAGAAGTATTAAAAGGAGTCAATGTTGCATTCACTGGAGTGATACCAACCAACATTCAGCCCGAAAAAAGCGAGATTTGGAAACGTGCTGAAGAACTTGGCGCCAAACCACAGCGTCACGTTGTGTGCCCTAAAGACACAACCGACCCAGCTGACGTCACAACACACGTGATTGCTGCGCGTCTTGGTACAGAAAAGACATATCGCGCCATTAAGACACCCGGTATTAAACTGGTTAAACTGGATTGGCTTTGGAGCTGCTCAGAGAGATGGGAGTGGGTCGATGAAAGGTTGTTTCCCGTTGATGGGATAGACAAGTATAAGAAAGATGTTCGGAATCAACGCACGCCCCAAGGAACGCCGCAAAGCTGGAAGAGAACCGCGAAAGACGATAATAAAAACGATAACAAACAAACTCCTTCACTTGAAGTCGAAGTTGGAGTAAACTCTAACGAGGGCGCGCGCGAGAGAACTACTTCGTCAAGCAGCGCGGACCTTTTAATGGCTTCCATACATCCTTTACTCTCTTTCTCCTCGACTGAAATGGAAGCCATGGACAAGGAGGTCGAGGACTTGATGAATTCAAGCGAAAACGAGAGTGACGTAATCGGTAGTATTTCTGGATCAAGTAGTTCGTCGAGCAGCTCGTCCAGTTCGAGTTCCAGTAGCTCGAGCTCATCTTCTGAGGAATCTGACGATAACGAGGAAAAGGATAACGTAGATGAACCCTTAAAGAAACGAAAATTAACTGACAGTGAGAGTGATGATATTCTAACAAAGAAGCGTAAAAAAGACATTGATTTAGCATCAGAAAAACTGCAGGATCGGTTAACTCCAAGTGATGGGGATGGCGATGATGATGATGATGATGACGATGATGATACCAATAATGATATGGCAGCTTTACTAGAGGCAGAACTATCGCACTACTAATTTTAGTTGACTTTTCCGTACATTTTTAGCATGTCAAATCCCTTTAGTAACTTGATTTACGTTTATGGTTTTTCATAGAGTTTGCGCAAGTGAACGGAGCGGAGAAGAAAACCAAAAATTAGCCGTATCATCGTGAATCTTTTTACCGTGTTTTCCTCTTTCTTCCTGTATGTATCCGGCGTCTTCAGTCCACACTGTCGACCAGAAAGTTCATTCGAAAAAGAACACTTTTTCAGCTTCCTGCAACAGTCTTCACTCTAAAACAATGAATGCTGTTGTGAAACGTTTGAAGTCAGGAGTTGTTACTTCTGGTATCTTACGATTTCGTAATTCGTGTTCAGTTTTTTCGACTTTCATGTGAGATAGTCGTCATTTTGGTTTGTTCCAACGAAATTGCCTCGCCATTGGCTACTTTTGCTTTATCCACCAACATGCATGGCGTCTATGTATTTTTGTTTTTTCATTTTCTTGGAAATAATTGCGACCCAGGAATTATTATCAATTCATTAACAACATCTAGCTCTTGCGACAGACTTTGTAATAGGCTGAAGATTTGTCGTACTCATGTCATCGACTCCCCGTAAGCTAATAACAGTCAGAGAGAATAAAATATTTAACCCAGGGTACGTGGACTAAGTGTTCACATGACTAAACTAAAGATATTGTTAATAGAGATTATATATTGACCACTGCATTCTTTTTTTTACTTAAGCCTCCCGAAATGTATGACAAAACACGTACTTAGTACCAAGTCAGTAACGAAAAATATTTGTTATAAAATCGCAAATAAATTCGTATGTTAAATTGAGTTTTCGAAAATAAGTTTGGAAGTAACAGTTTAATATACATAATAAGTCTCATGGGGCAACCAAAATGCGCTACTACCAAACCCCTCTTCCTTAGAAGCCGGCATGGCTCAGTGGGTTAGTAGGCGGCCTTCAGAGCTTAGAGGTCTACGGTTCGATCCTCGGGATCTTCACGTGCGTTTTGACTTCTTTCTAATTCGTTAAGCTTTGAATATTCTTAAAACCGAGCACTCAGCTGATGAAGAGAGGGGTTAAAGTGCGCACCGTGAGCTTCCTGGGATACTAACATCGTAGCTGAATAAGCTACCGACGTTAAATATAGTTATTTTACCTTTTTTACCTTAAGTCTCGCTTTCTTTGCGCGCGCCTCATGGTGCTCGCGTCGTTCTGAATTAGTTGACAAATCACGTGACAAGTGGTACGTCAGAGGCGAATCCAAGGTTGACCAGAAAAGAGGGCTGTGACAATTTCGTCGATGCTATACATCCTATCAAAATCAGTCTACCATATAGGTAGGTGTACTGTTTACATTTCCAAAAATCAATTTTTGAGCCATAAACGATTGAGCTTAAGAAATATAAAGAAGTCATAACTGTTGATAATATTTGATACTGTTAATACAATTTGAGAGCAGTGGCTTCATTAGTTCAGAAGATATAATAAATTTAAGTTGCTAAATTTTGCAGTAAATGTAGGTTGGTTGGCAACATCTTACCAACCAACATACATTTACTGTCAAATTTCACAACGTTAACTTGAAAACCATCAAGAGATTTGTCCTCAAATTCTCAGATGTCTTCCAAAGCGATAGGATCTTGCCACTTTTGACGTTTGTATGTTTATTGCTTGAATTTCAAGAATTTTCAAGAATTTCATGTTCTCGATCAAAACAAATGACGTCATCGTACGCCCACCTATAAAACGACTTACCGGAATTTCGTATTGGTGTCTGTTGCCTGCCCCTTGAATAAGCCGACAGCTTCGAATGTAGATGGATGGATGCTCACAGAAGACGATTCATGCTGTCTTAATATGGCTAATGTGCGTCAGTCATCTAGGTAAACCATGAAGCAGCCCAGGGAACTGTTCTTGTCCATAACAAGCGAAAACTTTTTGCCGCATAAGCACACAAGAGTATTGCTAGATATTGTGAGACTTGCGTTACTAGGAATGGGGATTTAAAATTCATTTACCTATAAATGGGTTAATGGAAGCCATTTAACTTTCCTTGGTGCGGCAAAAGAATATATATATAAAATCTTAGCGGAGATGTGATCACTTAAGGTGACTGCCTACTTTTGGAAATTGATTTAAGCTCTTTTAAAAACTTCGATTTTCCGAATTGAAATTTAATGCTGATTCCAAATCTGGAAAGAAAAATAGGGTGTCCCGAG